TATGCAGAAAGCCTCTGCCCCCCGGGCAGGGAGGGATGAGGCTGGGGGGGGGGGGGCTGAAAGGCACCTGGCTCCTGCCTCCCCCACCTGGCACTGCCCCTCTGCCTGCTCCTGCCCACCAGACTCCATGTTCCCCACCGGTGCTCAGACAGCGAAGGGGAGCGAAGGCCCCCCACGGGCCAGCGGGCAGGGAAAGGGGGGCCATGGGCACCCACGTGTGGTGCGCCCCATGCTGCTTCCCGGGCACAGGCTGAGGCAGGGGCCTGTCCCCTCCCAGCATCCGGACACCGGCAATTCCTGCATCCCTGGACACGGCACACACAGACGTGCCACACACTACCCCCCCCCCTCCTCCCCCATGTCTGCAGCCCCCCGCCCATGCACAGCCCCTGCACACTCCCCCTCCAGTGCACATACACACAAGCCCACGCGTGCACACTCGCACCACCCTGCGCACACACCCCCACACCCCCCCCCCCGCTCTGCCCACACACCTCAGGCACTCCCCCATGCACAAAAACACACTTCCCCACTCTATGAACGCATCCACCCCCCAGCCATGCGCACACACTATACCCTAAATGGGTGTACTACACCCCCATGCACACGCACACGCACCCCCCCCCGCACACCCCTTCCCACTCACACACATCCCCACGCACATGTACGTGCTCCAGGCAAGCTGGGGGGCCCAGCGAGGGCGGGTGGGGGGCTGCCCCGCTCCAGCCCCCCTCTCTAGTCCGCAGCCCCCTGCGCTCGCCCGCCCGTGGCCGGCAGCAGGCGGGCGACGGGGGAAGCCGGGCTGCGAGCCCCATCTCCTGGCCAGCGGGAGCAGTTCTGCACAGAAACGGGCCCGGCCGGGCGGAGCCCCCCGCCGCACACCCGCACCTTTTCGGCTGGTGACAGTGGCCTTCGCGGCAGGCCAGCCGTGGGACTGTGTTGGAGGGGGTGACAAATTCGATGGGGAAAAACGGGCATGAGAAAGATGGATCCCGGCTCGGCTCTCCATCCCATCACCCTCACGGGTGGATGGGGCCTGGAGTGGGGCAGGGCAGGGGAACTGAGCTGCAGAGCTGTGTCCTGATGTGGATCCCACTTGTACCCGCTCTGGATGATGGGGACCACCGTGGGAAGGGCACCCCCGGGGCACGGGAGCCTGGTGACCCTGTCTCTACTTTGGGTGGATGGAGGAAAGCCCAGAGAGGGGCTCAGCCTCAATGCCTGGGCCTGGGGCCCTGTACACCCCCCTCAGCGGGGGATGGGGGGGGGCAGCATATCTGCCTGAGAGCTGGGGAACCAGGGAAATCTCCCAGAACAGCTGCAGCACCCAGCTGGGCACCCTGAAACTCGGTCCCTTGGGGACTATCCCCATTCTGCACATGGCTGCTGCGGGGCCAGGTCTCCCCAGCCCAGGGACAGCTCTTCCACACAGGGCAGAGGAGCTCAGCAGCGATGGCTCCTGCCCCCAGCAGTTTGCAGAGGGGGTCCTGTCCCCCACCGACTGCCCTTGCGTGTCCTTGCCCTGCCTGTCCTTGGGGCTGCCTCCCCAAGGTTTTTGGGGGGCCATGGGAGCAGCAGGGCAGGCGGGCTGTGAAGTGGGGGAACTGGGAAGCCGAGATCACCCCAGCACAGGGAGCGGACCCCCCCGCGCCGGGCACACCGGCCCGGCTAGAAAAAAACCCACGGGCTGCCTCTGCAGGTAGCTGCGGGCAGCCCTGCCTGCCTGTGAGCGCCGAGCTGCGGGCTCCGTGCTCCGGGCTGAGCCCCGCTGCCTGCCCCGGCTCCCCGCCGCTCCAGCCCCGCCGCTTTCAGGCCCCGCAAGACGCTTCCTGGGGGAAAGGGGCCCCCGGCAAACCCTCCGGGCAGGATGCTCTCCTCTCCTCCTCTGCTTCCTTCCTCTCCCCCGGCCGGGCCAGCCCTCCCCCCTGCCCTCCGCAGCTCCTTAACCCTTTCGCCCACGCTCCCGGCCATGCGCCAGCCCCACGGCCACGGCTCCCGCCCGCGCGTCCCCGGCCCCTTTGTGCTGCTCCTCCGGGCCGCGCTCCCCACGGCCCCCCCACGGCCCCTCCGCCATCCTCCCGCGCCCCCCGCAGCGCCTAAGTGTCTGCCGGGGGGTTGGAGAGCTGCGGCCGGGGCCGCTTCGCAGTGAGCCCAGCTTGCCCACGGCCCCCGTGGGACCCTCGTGGGACACAGCTCATTCCGCGCTGGGATCTGGGGCTTTCCGCCAGCTGGCCGTGACACCCCCCACCCCCACCCCCCCCCCCATCTCCCCCCGGGGAGAGCGAGCGGGAGTCCCCAGCGCGGGGCCGCGCTCCCTCCTGCATCACTGCGGCGGCGGGGAGCGGCCATGGTGGGAGCCGGGGCTGTGCGTTGGGGGCCGCGCGTCGGGTGACGGGGAGCAGGGGGGGATGCGGATGCTCCCATGGCGGGGGGGACCGTGCCGGGCTGTGAACAGGGACGGGGGCCTCCAGAGGGAGCCCGCAGTGCCGTGAGGCTCCGCAGCGGCCGGCCTGATGAGCTCCGGAGCCCCCGGAATGCTCTGGAAAGCCAGGCTGGGCCAGGGGGCGAGCCTGGCTGCGGGATGGGGGGGGGCTCATAGGCAAACCCCAGCAGCGGGGAGGCCTCCCGGGGAGGCCACCGGCCGCCCGCGCTCCCCGCTGGAGCCCGCAGACAAAGGCCCGTGCGGCGGCGGGAGGGCCAGCCCGTGCTGCCCGCCGTGCTGCACATCCGGGCGGGAGCGCGGCGGCGGCGGCCGGGGTGCCATTTGCCCGCTCCCGTGCCGGAAGAGAGGGGCCGGGGAAGGGCCTTTCCTGCGGGCGCTGGCCGTGGCGCGGGGAGAGGTGACACAGCAGACGGGGAGTGCATCTGAGGGCATCCTGCCACCACCGTCCCGATCCTCCCTACACCAGTACCACACGGCTGAGGGGAGCGGCACCGGGATCACCGCGGTGCCCCACTGGGGGGCTGGGGAGGGGGGGGGGGGGCAGTGGGATGGGGACATGCCTGGGGGTATTGCCACCTGGGCACTGCTAGAGACCCTGCCCACCAGTGTCCCGTGGGGTTGTGCTGTTCCGTGTCCTCATGAGTTGAGGGCTCAGCCTCTGGTGGGTGGCACCCAGGGGGGACGTGGAGCCTGAGCCCAGGCTGGGATGTGCCCTCAGCTCTCCAGCATAAGAGGGGGCAAAGCAGCAGAGTGAGGGCAGCTGGTGATAATCAGGGCCCAGGATGCAGCTCCCCTGCTTGGGGACAGTCCTAAACCTCTCCCCAGGTCAGCCCTTGCTCCCTGGGTCTCAGGGGCCAGGCTATGGGGAGACGTGGGGAGCTCCTGCCCTGTACAGGGCTTTGCCCACCCCCGGGGGGGGGGCTATAAATAAACCATTAGTTTTATTTTGGGAACGTGGTGGAAACGTGCATGGCAGGTTGCTCCAAAGAGAAAGAGGGAAAGTTGGCTGCCAGGCCCTTGCCTGGGTGTGGCTAATGCTGCTGGAGTTGATCCTGAGGAAACGGGCTGTGCCGGATTTATTTCCCTATTTGAGGGGAAGCAGAGGGACCCCCAGCCATGCTGGGTGCCGCCCCATCTCTTCACGGGTACGGAGGATGGCGTGGACACAAGGCCTTGGTGCTGAGTTGTGCAGTACCAGGCGATGCACGGTCCTGGCTTGCATGTGTCGGTTGGTGCGGCGTGTGGTCATGGGGCAAGATGGCCCGAGGCAGGTTGGGCGCCGATGGCCGAGCCCTGGGCTGGGACCTTGGAGGTACAAACATGTCACGAGCAAAACCTCTTACAGCGGTTCTTCCTGCCAAGTCACCCCACCCTCCGTGGGTGTGCTGGAGCAGCGCGAGACTGAACGTGGCAAGCCTCTGCGCAGTGGCAGCACACCGGCGCGGTGACAACGGGTCAGGGACCTCGGTGTGTGGCCCCTCGGGGGCAGATGCTGGGGAGGAACGGTTGCCCCATTGCCAACCGCAGAGAGGGCAGGAGGGAGCGCCAGGGCAGGGCCTCGGGAGAAGCCAGGAGCCCTCAAAAGAGCTGCCAAAATGTGCAGGCAGGGTGTGCGGGGCTGCCTGCACCTCGGATCCCACCACCCTGCTGAAGTGCCAACCTGCAGCCTTCCCCAGGGCAGTGTTTTTGGCGTGGGAAGGCTGTGGGGCAACAAGGGCCAGGGCGGCGGGCGCTGCCTGCCTGAGTGTGCAGAGAGGCTGCAACGGGGCCGTTACCCGGTGGAGGGAAGCGCGGCGGTAGCGCGGCCGGGGGGCTCCGTGCCGGGGATGTGCGGAGGAGGGTGAGGGGGAGAGAAACAAAGGGCGGCAGCGGGTGGAGGGCTGGCGGGGGGGGGGGTACCGGTCTGCTCGGGCAGCGCCGCGCCGAGCCCAGCCGATCCCTGCCGCGGCGGCACCCAGCTCCCCGCCCGGCACCCCGGGGGGGGGCGGCCGGGCCCTGCCCCCCCCCGCGGCCCGGGCAGCACCGCCCCGGTGCCACATCCCCGCGCTGCCCCGGCCGCTGTCCCCCGCCCGGCCGCCCCCGCCCCGTGCCTGCCCAGCCGTTGCCGGTGCGGCGGCGGCGTGGCGCGGCGCCCGGACCCGCGCGGCTGGCGGCGTAGACACCCCCCCCCCCCCCCCCGCACCTCCTCAACCCCTGCCTAGAGGTAGCGACGGAGCCGCCGCCGCCGCCCGCCGAGGTTGGGGGGGGGGGGGGCGGGTGGGTGTGTGGGGATGGCGGGGGGCCGGTGGCGGCCCGGCCCGGAGGAGCGGGCGGGCGCGGGGCCGGCTGCGCGCCGCTCGGTGGCGGGAGGGCGGGCGGGAGCGCGGCGTTCGCTGTCCGGGAGCGGCGGAGCCCGGCGAGGACAGCCAGGCCGCGGGCAGCCGGGCGCCGCTCCCGCGGCGGGCGAGGCTCGGCGAGGCGAGGCACGGCACGGCACGGCACGGCACGGCGGGCCGCGCGGAAGGCGACGGCCCGGCCCTCCGGTGCGCGGGATGGGTGGAGAGGGGAGCGCGGCCGGGACGCCGGGCCCGGCCCGCGGGGAGCGGCGGACAATGGCAGGGGGTAACCCGTAACCCCGGCGGCGGCCCGCGGCCCCCGCTCCGCTGGCTGCACGCTGGAACCAGGGCCGGGCGCGACGCCGATGCAGGAGCCGCCGCCCGCCGGGTGCCCCGCCGGGGCGCAGGACCGGGCCGACTCCATTTTGTTGGCGTCCGCTCCGCCGCCGCTCGCAGGCCCGCGGCCTGCCCGTCGGCCCCGGGGCCGGCCGGGCGGAGGGGAGCGGCGAGTGGCGAGGGAGAGGGCGGTGGCCGGCCGGTGCGCCGAGGCCCGCAGGTGAGGTGCAGCCGGGCCGCCCCGTCCCTCCCCGTCCCGGCGGGGACGACCCGGTGCCACCCCCCCCCCCCAGCCGCCACCGCCGCCGCCGCCTAAGATGGAGGTGGGGGCGCCGGGCCGGGCCGGGCCGCCATGTGCGCGGGGTCGGGCCGGGGAGCGGGGGCGCGCCGGGGGGGGGCAGCACTGAGCGCCCCCCCCCCTTCCCCCCCGCGGGACGGGCGGCGGGGCGGGGGGGGCGCCCGCCGAAGCGGGGTGGGGGGGGGGCCGCGGGCGCGCGCTGATTGGCGGCCGCCGAACCCCAAGAGCGGTGGCGCGGATGGGGGGGGCTGGGGCGCGCGCGCAGGCGCGGGGCGCGCGCCGGCGGGATGGCGGCGTCGGGCGCGCGCATGCGGGGGAGGGGGGAGGAGGAGGAGGAGGAGGAGGAGGAGGAGGAGGGAGGTGGCGGAGCGGCAGCGCTGGCGGGGCCTGGCCCGGCCGGGTCGGCGCGTCTCCCTCTCGGCCCGCACCGGGGGCAGGCGGCGAGCCGGCCGCAGTGGCCGCAGGTGAGCGGCGCCCCGCGGGACGGCGGCGGCGCAGCGGTGCGAGGCGGAGCGGTGCGGGGCCGGGCGGCGGGCCGCGGCCTGGGCCTAGCGCGGCGGCGGCGGACTCGCGCGGGGCCGGCGGAGCGGAGCGGGGGCCCCCCGGGCGCGGCTGCCATTTTGCGGCGGCGGCCGGGCTGACCCCATTGTGCTGTGCCCGCAGGTGGATGCCCGCGGCCCGGCATGGAGCAGGCCTGCGAAGTGAGCCGCCGCAGCTGCCTCGTCCCCTTCGGCACCTCGCTGGCGGCCGCCGAGGCCAAGGGCGGCCCCTTCGGCGAGGGCCGCGGCTCCGACCCGCCCGCCATGCAGCTGGCCGCCGCCAAGCCCGTCTACGGCCAAGACCCCTCGTCCTGCTACATCCCGCTGCGCCGGCTGCAGGACCTGGCCTCCATGATCAACGCCGAGTACCTCGGCGGCGCCGCCGACGGCGCTGAGGCCTTGCCCGACCCCGGCTCGCCGCCCCCCCGCCTCCCCGCGGCTCAGGACCCGGCGGCCGACGCGCCCCGCGGGGCCCTGGCCTTCCCCCTGCTCCTGCGGGACGACGGAGTGGAGGAGGAGGAGGAGGAGGAGGAGGAGGAGGAGGAGGAGGAGGAGGAGGGAGCCGAAACGCCGGAGGAGGAGGAGGAGGAGGACGACGACGAGGAGGAGCAGGAGGAGGAGGAGGAGGAGGCGGCGGCAGCCGAGCCGGGCTCTCGGAGCCGCGGCCGCCCCGGGCCGCAGCAGGGCCCTGCCAGCCCGCCGCCGCCCCGCTTGCAGCCGGCCGAGCCGGTGCCGGACGGCGACCCCGGGGAGAAGCCGGAGCCTTCCGCCACCGCCGGGGCGGCGGCCCTGCAGCTCGTAAGCGCCGCCGGGGCGGGGAGGTGGGATGGGGGGGGGGGGGGGAGCGCCGGGCGGGGGGCCGCGGCCGCTGCCATTTTGCGGCGGAGGCCGGCTGCGAGGCACGATGCGGCGGGGCCGGGCCGGGCGCCCTCGCAGCCGGCACCCTCGAGGGCGGGCAGCCATCTTGCCGAGGGGACCCCGCCGGGGCGCGGGGGGAGGCCGCCGGCCGCCGCCGGGACCCGCTCGGGGCTGCCGCGCCGGGGACCGCCGGCCAGCGCGGGCTGTCACCGGGCTCCGCCGCGCACCTGTGCCCCGGCGGGGCCACCCGCGCTCCCCCCGCGGCCTTTTCCCCCCCCCTCAGGAGTAAGAGGCACCGATCCTCTGTCTGAGGACAGCCGATCGCTGCCAAGTTTGGTGGAGTTCTTCCTCTATGTTTTGGGGTTTTTTCTTCACTCTTTTTGTGGGCGGTCTGGAGATAACCAGTGCAGGAGAAGAGCTTTCCCCTCCCCGGCCTGCTCCAGCTCTGTTGCTGTCAGACGGCTCTCTTTGTCTGGCCTGGCTTTGAGGTAGCCAAGCTGTGAGACTTTGGCAATGGCCAGGGAGGGGCTGTGTCATGGCCTCTGACAGACCTCAGGGGCAGGAAACCTTGCCTCTGATTCAGGCTAACTTTTTTTCTTTCTAATTTATCTCTACACTCCCAAATTCTTTTAGTTTGTTTTCCAGTATGCTTAATAAGAAGCAAAACTGACTGAACTTTTAGAGTTCTGAAAAGAGTTAGGTGCGCTCAACTTTTTTGTATAATGTGCTTTTGAATGCAAGTATAGTTTTTGGATGGTTTTCAGCATGACTTTTTATTTCCAGATATGTACGTATATTTTCTAAAGTATTTTTTTTTCTGTGTTTCTTAAATATGCTTTTGCGAACTTCAGGTTCCTTACTGGAGGATACTCGGGGTTTTAAGTATTACTCGATGTAGGGTGTGAAAATTAACTCTTGACAGCACTGACACTGAAAACATATTGCTCTCTTTAATTTCAGTAGATCTGCTGATGCCAGACAGATGCTACTGGTGCATGCAGCACTTGGGGAGAAATACTTGCTTTCACCTGTGTTCATTTGGGAACATTCAGTGTTCCTGCTCTTTGCTCTGGGAGCTGGGGGAGCATTTGTCACAGAGTGCCCATGGAAGGGGCAATGTCAGGAAGATGCTGACAGCAGCTTAATTTGTTTGTGGCGTGGTTAGGCTCCGCTCTGGGTCATGGATCTTCTTGACTGTTCCTTGGGAAGAATCCATCTCCTTGTGGAGTGTCAGTCTTTAGTCTTTGGGGGTAAGAGGCTGCTGTTGGTCTGAGGTTTGTTCGTATACTTAGCTTTGTTTTGCAGAGCAAAGCAGCGATCTCTCAGCAGACATGTGCTCAGTGATGCGGTTGTGGGAGGGTCTCACTTTGTAAACAGAAGCTAGCAGAGGTACTTTCACAACACTTGCCTTTGCTATCAGTGGCTTTGCAACATGCTCCACAGAACTGCAGCTTGTACGGTGACAAAACTGTCTTAGTGATTGAGCCTGTAATTTGAATATGCAACGAGGGGTTGACTTTTCACTAAAGCTGCCTTCCTGTCTGCTGTAGTATGACATTAGCCTTGTTGAATTGTTCTGGTGACTGAAAAAGCATAGCTGCATTCAGAAAAAAGATACAAAGAAAAGCGTTTTTTAGACAGCCTGGCATCCTTCTCTCCTTTAGTAAGTAAGTGTGGGTTGTCAGAGTGGTCCTTCATTTTAGCCCTGCTGCTTGTGGGATGGGAGGAGAGAGGGATTTTTCTCTGTGCCAAGTTACCAATGAGACAGTTAAAATATTTTAATTGTTGAACATGGCATAGTAGCTAGAAATAATCAGGCTTGCTCCTCAGATCATGTGTTCAAGTAGGCGTTTAGTTCTGGTCTCATTTGTATTTGGGTAACTGTAATCAACTTTTTTTGAGAGCCTGATAAAACGTTAAATAAACAAATAAACAAAAAACCAAAATAACATCCACAAAACTCCCAGGAGCTCTGCATTGCTATTTTTAGAGTGGCTTGTCATAGATGTGCTACTCTTTCAGATAATTACCTTTACCCAGCCTGATGATGGGGCTCCTCCACCTTACAGTGAGACTTTCGCAGAGCTTTTATTCTTGAAGCTCACTGCTTTGCATATGCCCATTGCTGCTTAAACTTCCTGTTTTGCCAAGAGGAAAGTGTGCAGTATCTGGGACCTCTGTGTCTGCCTTTTGCAAGTTTTGAATTTTTCACTTTGAAAAGGCTTAACTTCCAAAATGGCAAGAGTGCTTCCAGCAGAAGGGCCAGCATTTGGTTTAGTCTTTAGTGGGATGCAAAGTCCAGCATTTAAGTAATGCCTCTGGGTAGGAGAGATGGTGGCAGGTATTGTTTTGCATGGGGATTTGTTAATAGCCCTGGCATCTGTTGCACTCGAACATTGCCCCAAACAGAGAAGTTATTCAAGTAGCATTCATTTGTAAAGAGGGATGTGCATATTCTGAAGTGATTTTAAGTGTCAAGTTAATCTTGGCTAAAGTTGAAGCTCTCCATGCTCCCAGCAGCTACTTAAAAATTTCATGTTGGAAAGAAATTGTGACAGTGGTTTTTGGGTCTTTTTTCTGCTCTAGAAGTGACGATACAGTGGCTGCTGGCAACTGCTGCTTACTTTGATGTGCACATGGTGGATTGTAATTTAAATGGGTGGTCGTTTTTAAATTTCTCTGTTCTTTACCATCTTGACATAAGCTTGTCTTTAGCGTTTTCCTGGCTTTTGCAAGTTGTAGTGGTCCTGGACAGCATTATGTGGAGTTGGAGGGAGAATTGGGCCAGACTCTAGCTCTGGGGAGGGTGGGTGCAGCCACGTAAGGTTCGAGTGCTGTGGGTCTTTCTTGAAGTTAGTTGTTGAGGAATTGGAGCAGGTGGACTTGTTTCTGATGGAGCTTTTGTGCCATAGTTGTGCTTTTTTATGTAATTTTTGGTGCCATATTAGTTGGCTTTCTCTTTGCCAGTTTGTTGGTTTTGAATTGCTACCGACAAAGTATGCTACGAGTCATTTGGTTTGCAAAGTTGAGCACTGGGAAGCAGAGAGTTCTTAGATTCAAGTACATCTGTGCCGCTCTTGGTACATGTATGATATGCAGTGTACGATTCTGGGTTACACATTCACAAGCTGTTTTTTCCATGGGAGCCTGATGACTTCAGGCTGCAGGATGTGCAAAGCTTGCGTGAGGCACTTGCTCAATGTTCCTTTTAATTCTTCTCATACTATTTCCTTGTTGTCCAGCTCCACGCTGTAGGAGTGATGTTCGGGTAATGGCAGTGAGGAAATGAGGTACAGGAAAATCTAGAGCCAGATCTTTCATCACTAAGGGTGGCTGCTTCCAGTGGCTGGATTGTAAGGAATGAGTAGGGCTTCTGCAAGGTTTTTGCTTTACCAGAACCACTCCACATGCAATATGTTAAAAGTATGGAAGGCCAGCAAAGTCCTCTCTTTAAGCCTAGAGTTAATCCATGATGAACTTCAGAGTTCTGTTGCAACCTGCAGCTGTAGGAGAGTACTCTCATTACAGAGCATTTGTGTCTCTGTGTGAGAGTTACTCTGGTTCTTCTATTAACTGACATGTCTAGTGCCATTTCTCTCTTAGCTAAAAATAAAATAAAGGAACCACTGCCACGTGATACTTGCTACTCCTGTAAACATTTCTGAAAGAATCCTCTTACTGCAGACTGTTGATTTGAGGTGTAACTAACTACTGGTAACATTATATCCCTGAGATACAATAGGCATGGCAGTGGTTTGTTTGAGCAGGGAACATAAATTTCCTTGGTCAGTTGACATCTTACCAGCGGGGAGATTAATTCTGTTTGGCTGTCTGTGCTTCCTGCAGGCACAGTCTCCCTTTACGTGCATCTGGTAAGAACAGGCTCTTGGTGTACTGCTGTCCCTGTACGTCTGATCTTGCACACACCCCTCTTTGCCGCTAAGGTTTATGCTTTTTGGAAGACCTTATTTTTTCTCAGAAAAGAGCACATAGCTGGATCTCACCTGGCCATGCAGTCTGCTGGCATCCACTGGGCCCCTGTACTGAAGTGCATTCATGTCTTGAATAGCTCTAAACTTACTAGCAGCGGACTTCAACCGTGGTGGGCATTCAGCAGAATGGGTGTTTCCGTGGTTAGGGCACTGTCCTGGGCTGGGATACTGCTCAACCATAACTTTTCACGGTCCTTAGTGACTTCAGTGCGTTCATGATGAGGTGGCGCTGCATTGCCTCTTCGTGGTGGTGGTGTGAATGCGTGGGTGTTAAAGATGGTGCCGCAGCAGGACAGTGTACCCTGGGTGTGAGGAGCAGCTCGCTTTGAGTGACAGCAGTTTTTTGAACAGTCTGTAGGATCTAGAGCTTCTGCACAGCAGGCTGGGTCCTGGAAGTATTTATTCTAGCATTTGGCAGTGATTGCTCTTATTCTCCTTGGTTTCATTTGTGTTTGTTCTCTAATCTGTTGCTGATTAGGTGCAAAATACCTGTTTGTGTACATGATGTTACAGAAAACATTGTAGTTTTTCTAGTAGATATGGATGTTCTGGCTACCCCTCTTAGGATGTGAAATGTGCATGACCAATGTCTTAGCAGTTTAAAGCTCTCTGAAGCTGAATGTGTGTGCAGATAGAAAAATGAGGTATTTTCTTGCAGATTGGACAGTCTCGAAGGTGAAGTTTGGCAGAATGTAGTTGCAGAAACCTCTATGTTGTTTCTGCTTTCTATATTTAAAACTTATTTTTAAAGCTTGGGTAAGAGAGACTTTGTTCAAGCAATGGCCTGGTTAACACACTGTCCGCAGTCATAAATACTTCAAATTTGTAGTGAAGGTTGTTGCCAGAGGAGTGTAGACGGTCACTCAGCTATTCAGCAGTGAAGTTCTGCTCTGTACAGTGTAGCATACTTAGCACATCACCTGCTACTTTTACAGGAAAAAATGGCCG